AATTGCCGAGCGAAACTAAACTTTTTCGTCAAAGGGTTAAAGTCACACCGTTCCACTTGCATGTTCAATCCAAAGCTTCCATCTCCAGCCTGAAGAAGAGAGCATATGGAATACAGTAATTTCATCATATTAATATATGTTAAAATATGCATTCACCTCTTCCAAATAAAACAGCATGGCACCGAAATGAAATATCCAGGTGAAAAGAATGGCCATGAGAACAACTCCTCGCTGGAAAACGATCCCGTAGAATCTCGACTGCCAGAAAACTATTTTTGCATACCTTTTTTGAATCATAAAATGGGAGCAAAGATTTTTGATGAATGAATGAATGAACAGAACACTTTTATTTGCTGCTTTTCAGCGTTCACAAGGTTCAATCAAGATTTCCACAACCAAACCCCCTTCCCAGCACCCAACCCCAATCCACTCAATGACATTTAATCACTTCAGAGCAGGAAACAGAGCACAAATTGATAACAAAATTAAAAGAAAATACAATCCATGAAATACAACAGCTATAGACATCTGACATGTATGCATACACCCATTCATTCCTTGACATTGGAAACAAAATATTTGTAAAAATTAATTTGAAGCAAAAGGCCTTCAGCTTGTTTCTGTATGACGTTTAGTTGAATGAACAAATTAGAGAGAATCTTTGATTAGAAATCATATAAGATTTTTGTTTTAAAATGAGGTTCTCGCATAAGAAAATGTCGGGATTGAGAAAATTTGTGCGAACATTTTGTTAAAAACAGATTTCAGAGAGAAAACATTGCTGACGTAAAGTTTCACATTGGCAAGAAAGATTGCATGATAAAAATTATTCTTTAGGATACTGTAGTTGAAAGTACCAAAGAAAAAACGGAATCGCAGCAAATCAAGTAAAAGTACTCCACGTTGAAAAATGGAATCATCAATAAGTCAGAAAAATTACCTTCGAATGCGATAATGAGGAAAAATTAGAAGCGGGAATTTTGAATGCGACTTTTCGCCCTTCAAAAACTTTTTTCTCACCCGACGTTTTCTCCACCCGAACGTGCTATTATCCCATATATGTCCCCCATAATTTTTTTTTGATAAAATCAGTCCTAAAATAAAAGAAGATCAGCAAGAATACAAACGAAATGCAAACCTTTCAATCGCAATGAGAGCCAAACTGGTCCAGTCCAAGAAGGCGAGACTGTATCTCAAGTAGGCAAAGACTTGACACAATTTTTCGTGATCGCACCAAAACGTCGGACTCAAAATCGTGATGGCGTTCAAAGGCATCGCAAAAACGCAGTAGTTCAAATCCACTGCTGACAAATTCATGACAAATAGTGTCGAAACACGGCGACGAACGTGTTTCGCTGTCGACAGCGTCAGCAAAGTCAACGTGTTCCCTATAAAATGTCATTCAGAAATTTGGAACAAGTCAGTTTTTGCGCAAATGTTTCACAGTACTGTATAGTATAGTTGACGTTTGTCCCTTGTAAATTGTACAATAAAATCACTTTTGTAAAGCATAACAAAGTGTATGGCCTGAGTCAAATGCGTATAATACATCATAAGAAAGTTTTTGCGACAAGAATTACGTGTTGGAAGAAGCGACGCGCGTCTTTTATGTCTTGATTGAAAATTGAAACTATACTGTATCCACAAAGGGGGACATTTTATTACACAAGAAATTTCAATCACATTAGAAACATCTGTAATGGTTTTTTTAATTTAAAAGTCCAGTATTATTCTCATATGTCAGTGCAATTCTCGGAATTTTTCACATATTGCGGGGACCTTATCGCGGAGATTTAAGAACAAATCTCTGGGTCTATTTTACAAATTGAATCAAAAGTAATGGTCAGTCTTTTTCGAGAACTGTTTAATGGTGTTTATAGCAGCTTAATTCATTTATTTCGACCACTGTTCAGCAGTCATTGAAAGAAAAACCAGCTGCTTCAACTGATCATCTTTAAATATATCACCTCGAAAACTGACCGAATAGATCGCGGCGAGTCATTTTGGAAATGCTAAAGCGGATGGGATTTTTGTCCAATAATGACCTGATTTATTGAAAAACGTGATTGATCTAACCATCTATCTAGTGAAAAACTAAACCAAATAATCAGAATTCCTCTGATTTCATCAGTTTGAGAGACTTCTGTTGAGAATGTATTTATGCGTACACACTTCTAAATTCTCATCACATGATCAGTTATGTGTGATATTCAAGCTTGAATTTATTCTAACTCGCGTTTGAATTTCGAATCAATTTGTCAATTTTTAGATATTCATGATGGGACGGCAAGCAAAAAAAACCATGCTTCACGAATGTAAATTGACCTTACTCAACTTCAGTTTTTCATCAAAGTTAAACTATAATGTACTGAACTCACCGCAAATTCCCGTAAGCATAACAGCTCCACAAACGATCAATGATATGATTCGAACCGCGAGCATAGTTTCCTCTGGTTGCTTGAGACCTGGGGGACAACTGATGTTGCTGGAATTCGTCAGATTTGTCAGATTACAAAGTCCGGACATGTTTCAGACACTTGCCGTCATCTCATTGCAATATTTTCAACAACAAAAATGAAAGCTGTGCAGATTTTTTTTCGCGAGATACGTTATACGTGTTCCTCGTGAGACTCGATTCTGATGATGATGATGGTATCACCATTATTTTCAGGGTAAAAGTTCCGCATCGAACTTTGGTATAAAGGTTGTTATCTGTTGTACAGCATGTGCTTTTCTGATATGGAAAAGAGTCACAGATGGATAATGTGACTTTCTAGTGCGTTTTATTTTTTTTTTACAGAACTATAGTCATTTTGAGGTGCTGCAGCAATTTTTTTGCGACAGGTGATCACCCATAAGTACCAGCATAACTCACCTCAAATGGTTTTTCAGGGAAGATAACCCCTGCATACATTAAATTATGCCAAATTCTCCTACGGTTCGTGCAGACGTTTTTTCCGGGAAGGTTTGCCAAAAAAAAATCAGGATGCTTTTCATATACTCATTGGCGTAAAAGTGTAGAGATTCGCAAATAAATTCCATGATTGCTCCTCTGCGTTTTCTATAAAAAGCTGCTCATTTCTAGGTCGAAAAATGGTATTAATAATTGTTTATGAACAACTGCCGAGTTAAAATCTCAATGTCTGGTGAAATTTTAAAAGATGAAACTGATCAAGCATGAATATACATTATAAGCAAAAACTCTTCCGATTTTTCCCCAGAAAAATTAAATACTGTACTGTTGAAACACAGTATATAGTGCATAATACAGCATATTTAAAATTTCAAATGCAGTGAATTCTGTGATAATTTCAATGAATTGAATTCACAGTGTGTCCATCGCATTCAAAGTTGCAAGTTTCAAAATTTCCTGCTGAAATTTGATGCCTACGAATGACACATAAGCGCATCTTTATTTGTTTTAATGAAGTCTTACAATACTTCAATTTATGTGAAAAACCTGTCTTAATTAACTGGATTCATTAACATCTTCTGAATGAATATCACAAAGTCTGAAATATGAAACTTCTTCCGAAGACGAAGAAATTATTCTCCAATAAGGACCTGATTTGAAAAACTTGATAGATTTATAACTACTGTATTTATCTAGTGAAAAACTAAACAAACTAATCAGCAGTCCCCTGATTTTTTCAGTTCGAGAAACTTCTGTTGAGAATGTATAAATTTATGCGTACACATTTCTAAATTCTCATCACATAATCAGTTATGTGTAATATTCATGATGTTCATCTTAAATTTATTCAAACTCGTGTTTGAATGTTGAATCAATTTGTAGATTACTTACAGTAGTGTGTTGCTTTCCTGCTGCTCCTCTGATGGCGCACACAATTTTGAAATTTACAAAAATAATAAAGCCCCTGATGATTGAGTTTCCCATTGCTGGTTTGCGTACTTGTTTTCATTTTTCCTCATTCAAAAAATTGCTATGGGTACAATTTATGGTCCTGCTTAAAATAAAAAATCAATTCTTCAGACGAACAATAAATTAATAAAATAAAAAGGAAAAAGGAAATAAATAAAAACAATTTAAAAGAAATAAATTTGTTTAAGTTTTTTCATTTTTTGTTTATTATTAGATTATTTCCATTTTTTTTATGTTGAATTAAAATATCTTTTTGAAGCAGATGTCAAAAAAGAAAGTCTGTTCGACTTTTAAAATTTTACATGATTTGAGTTTGTAGGACTCTTCTTTTGGAACGAAAGCGGATCTATGTCGCAAAAATGTTTTCTTTTGCTTTTCCAATGTTTGACCAGACTTTTTGCAAATACAAACCATGATGCGCTATCTATTTACTGTACTGGACTATAGAAACCTCTTATACGCTCAGGAGTCAGTCACGATTTCGTATTTTTGGGTCACGTTTCGATGATTGTCTCATCGACATATCGAAGAGAATATACATTGTAGACATTCTTGTGACTTGATCCCGCCTTTTTTCTTTCAACAAGTTAGGTGTAATTTTTTTTTCGGGAAGATAATCAAAAAAAAAATTAGGCTGCTTTTTGTTATGTTCAGTGGCGCCCAAAAACGGCGTCTACGATTTGCAGAAGAACGTCATAATTGCGCCTCGAATCTGTGACATTATCTGTGCATCATAATTTTTCAATGAAGTGAGTGTTTTTTGTTTGCTTAAAAGGTGTCATTCACGTGTGCTTATGTTGTCTCTCACAAATATATAATTATGTACTTACACAATTCGAAGTCAGACGCGTCCTCATCTTTTATATGTGTAAAACTCAATCATTTTATTGCATCGAGAGTAAACTTCAGTAAGAGTTGCAAGTCATATATATAGAGGTTTTTCTGCGTGAATGTTTTTCAATAAGACAAAAACGTATATTTTAAAAATATTCTTGAACCAGGTGATTAAGGGATTTTGTCATCCGTCGTTCCAACGTGTGAAATCTGACCGACCGGCTTTAAAATCGGAAATGAAAAAAAAATGTCGAAGCGCAACGAATTGTTTATTTACCGAAAAGTCACGTTTGCACGCATGCTTAATTCATCTCACATGCAAATGCACTTTAACTGTACTGTACTTCACTTTTTAAAAAATACCGTTTGAGAGAAGTCTAGCATTGGGACGGTTTATTGTGAGTATAGTAAAGTATTTATTTTGTTGTTTTAAATCGAAATTTTAAAAATATTTTTTCAGACACCTGGAAGAAAACATTCAGGACAAGGAGCTGAAACGTATTCGTCGTTTTGGGGAGATTTTATTAATCTTTATAAGATATCGAAAAAAGTTCGCGGCGGAATTTTTTTAAACGTATTTGTTCATTCTTCACGAGGGAAGACCTATTTTTTTATTGTAATGATGCGGGATCGTCCTTCATTTTCCAAGCAGCATTATTACTTTTTTTTCAAATCGCAAGCAATGAAAAAATTAAGCACCTCAGAAACAAAAACATTCTGAAAATGCAGGGTATTTTGGCAGCAGAAATCTTTTTTTTCTTCCTTTCTCTTGCGGTAACTTCTTTTTGATTTCACGCGTCCGACGGCAAACTCGCCAAATTTGATAAGCTTTTGCTCGGGATCGTTCGTCGTTTGCCGTGTCGCCAATTGGAGTCGATGCGACTCGTCATTTCGAGTACGTATTGATGATGATTTGCTGATTTGTGGCCATTCATTTTCGGCCCATTCGAGGGTGTTGCCAAAGAGGACGAAGGCAGCAAAAGTATGTGACTTTCCGAGGCACCGGCGCGTTTCATCGCAGCTAGAATTTCATTGAGCATCCGCTTCTTGTCTGAGATTTCATTTCGAATTTCACGCACTTCGAGTTCTGCTTGGTCCTTTATCTGATGAACGGGGAAAAACAAAAATTTTCTTTTAGACCCTACAGTATTTTTATACCGTAGTTGTTTCATTTATTGTAGGCCGCAGAAAATGCCTCAAGAAAATCTCAGATGGGCCCTATAAAGTCGAAATTTATGTCATTGTGATTGAAAGGTGCTGCCTTAAATTTCAATATCATGAAAGTGGAAGAAAAGCAAATCAAAATCAAAGGAAAAGCTACTCGGTGATTTCTTCTTGTTTTTTAAAAAATAATTTCAACGCAGTATCGTTCAACTTTTCGATCCTGTTTTTCCCCGTATTTATTTTCCTTCGGAATTTTAACTTCCTCCGCAGTTTATTTGGTGCGTTCTTCCCTCTATAAATTGCCTGCCAAAATTTGCTGGAGTGAGGCCTATAATCCCAATCAACTTGAGTAAATACAGTAATGTATTCTTTTTAATTGTAGTAAAATAGTTCACCCTGATTTCTGCATCCAGTCGAAGTCGCATGTTCTCCAGTCGTTTCCGAAGATCACCGATTTCGTGTTCGAGTCGCATGCATGAAATTTTGTGGTTCAGCTGAAATATCAGAAATAAAAACGAAAACCTTGTTAATTTTTCTGAATTAAAACATTTGTAATGATTTATAGAGACAGAAACAGAGCAGATGAGGGAATTTACCTTCCGTGAAGGAGGTTCTTTCGCATATCCCACGGGTAATCCAGAAGTTTGAGCAGTCGAATAAATGGTTCTGTGTAATTTCTCCAAATCCCTTCTTACTTGAAGACAGTTTTGCTCCAAGTCCCCACTTTTTCTTTTTTCATTCAGGAATAATCGCTGCCAATGAGCCAATTGCTGATCGATCGAAAGTAAATAAATGGAGAAATACTGTACGTTACTATACATAAGAGACGGAAGCTGGAATAAGAGAACTTTCTCCATTACTTGTCTTTTTTTATATACCTCATAAGCAAAACTGAAAGATGAATATTATTTGCGTTTACATTTTTCACCTCAGTTCTACGTCGGTTCAGTTGATCCTGCATTGTAGTGATGGATTTGATCAATTCGTTTTTCCGTAGCTCCGCTAATCGTCTTTCGTCTCTGAGGTATCGAAGTTCCAGCTTTTTCTCTGCAACTGGTGAACAAATGTTCAAAAATTAAATATTTTATTTTTAAAATAATAATAATTTCAAGGAGACGTTCATATACATTTCTGAACGTACACTCCAATTTTTGAAGAAAAAAACTCCTTATTCAAGCGCAGATCTCTTGGAATACAGAATTCAATGAATTTTCAAGCTGGTCAAAATTGATAATGAAAAATAATTAAATTTTCGAAATATCGTTGTCAAGGTAATTTCAACCTTAATTTTCCTCAATTTTGCACACAAATGCCATGCCAATGGCTTTGCAATGCAGGTTGCAATGGCCAAATTATTTCCTGGGCAGAGAGTATACTGGCTCAGTGTTGATAGGTTTTGGTATTCCAATTTTTAGAACTTGAATGAAGGAATTGATACAAGTGTTCATTTTTTGATATCTCTTGAAAAACAATGCATGTCTTATTTCTTCATTTTTGTAGACTTTTGATTTAATTAAATAATTTTTGAAAAATATTATTTTACTCCTGATTTTTTAAAAGAAATTGTTGTTTGAGATTAAATTTAAGATACAATAAAAAATGGGTTTTTTATTTATTTTTTCTTCCTATATACAAGCATCAAGCAACTATAGTGTGAGACCTTATTTTTAGTCCCTCACACTTACTCTTTTGGTTGCGCTCTTCCCACACTTGTCGCTTCTTCTTCATCCGCTCTTCAAACGCCTTGTTTTGTCGGTAATTCTTCTCGGCACTCACCACACTGCTGGAACCCACGAACCCGCAAACAGTTTTCGGCGAACCCACCGCAGCTTCCGCATCCGCCACCTTTTTGGTGCTCGTCTGCATCAGGAGATTCCGCATGGTGGCACGTGACGGTGCCATCATTCTCCCGGCATTTGCATTATGGTTATTGGAAAAGTGTTGTTGTTGTTGTTGCATGTAGTATTGATTTGATGCCGTGGTGTTGTAAGATGCGATGGATGTGTTGTCCATGAGGGAGGCGGATTCGGCGGTGATTTGACGTCGACGAGCAACTGCCCCGAAGTTGGGCATCGTTTTCAGCAGGTGGCTGGAGTTGCTGTGGTTGCTGCAGTCGTGACGTCTCACCCGCTGGAAGAGATTAAATTTGAGTCGTGATGATTCAAAAGATTCAGTATTTTTTCATGCAGTAAATTCTCGTTATAATACGGTATTTACTCAAGTACCACGCCCACCTTTTCCCCGGATTTTCAGAAGTTCAGAAGAAAAAAAGGGGTGTGTGTCATAAGCGGGTACAAAATTTTCAAGAAGTTTTAGGAAGTTATGTGTGCATTATACTTGATTGTAATGGAGAAATTTGGAGCAAATGTAACAAGGAAACGTTTTTGTACTGAAAAAGTTGAAAATTGATGAGATTTTGGTTCAATTCATGCCTAAAGTCAATTTCTTGTTTGTATTTTCAAAATTGTGTGGTTTCAGATTCACTAAAAATTGGGGTGCACGTCTTACTTGGGGATAAGATTTTAGCAAAATTTCCAACTGAAAAACCCCTCTGCGCGCCTTACTTGAGGGCACGTGGTTTTGAGTAAATACAGTAAATTTCATCACATCAAATCTTGTTACAACAAATCTCATTGCAAATATGAATCTAATTACATATATGAATCTCATGACAATTATGAATCTCATGACAATTATGAATCTCATGACAATTATGAATCTCATTACAATTATGAATCTCATTATGATTATGAATCTCTTTACAATTATAAATCTCATGAAAATTATGGATCTCATTGCAATTACAAATTTCATAACAATTATGAATCTCATTGCAATAATAAATCTCATTTAAACAAATATTTTCACAATTATACACTGTAATTGATTGTAGTCCAAAATCCCCCCTCCCTCGCTTTTGGGGAACCACACGTATGCACAAAACAATATTGAAATTGATATATATAATGTTACGAAGTACTATTTTTTGTACACCAAGGAATTCACGCTTCCGCGAGATATTCCTCTATTTCCGATTGAGGTGAGATTTTCTCACCAGCACCTTTTGTNAAGAAAAAAAGGGGTGTGTGTCATAAGCGGGTACAAAATTTTCAAGAAGTTTTAGGAAGTTATGTGTGCATTATACTTGATTATAATGGAGAAATTTGGAGCAAATGTAACAAGAAAACGCTTTTGTACTGAAAAAGTTGAAAATTGATGAGATTTTTGTTCAATTCATGCCTAAAGTCAATTTTTTGTTCGTATTTGCAAAATTGTGTGGTTTCCGATTCACTAAAAATTGGGGTGCACATCTTACTTGGGGATAAGATTTTAGCAAAATTTCCAACTGAAAAACCCCTCTCCGCACCTTACGTGAGGGTGCGTGGTTTTGAGTAAATACAGTAAATTTCATCACATTGAATCTTGTTACAACAAATCTCATTACAAATATGAATCTAATTACGAATATGAATCTCATGACAATTATAAATCTCTTTACAATTATGAATCTCATTATGATTATGAATCTCATTACAATTATACACCTCACAACAATTATGAATCTCATTGTAATTAAGAATCTCATAACAATTATGAATCTCATCACAATAACAAATCTCATTTCAACAAATCGTTTTACAATTATATACTGTAATTGATTGTAGTCCAAAAGCCCCCCTCCCCTGCTGTTGGGGAACCACACATACGCGCAAAACAATATTAAAATTGAAATATATAAAAAACTACAAAAACCTAACATCTGATAAGAAAAACCACCTCACAAAGAATAACTACTTCTCAAAGAAAACCATACAACCCCAGAGAACAAATAAAAGCCAGAAACCGATTTCTGTTTTCCTCTGGCATCCACCAAAGAATGAATTTCAGAGATACATTTGCAATTGAACTTCTGGAGTGTACACATATGGCAAAATTTTACAAAAGTTACGGGAGAGTTCTGTTGAGTTGTTTTGTTTGTGCAAAATTTTGTCTTTGCATGTTTAAACTGTGGGACAAATTCAAAATACATTAAACCCAATTTAAAATAGGAAATCCACCAGAATTCCCGGCCTAGTCCCAGGCTGATTCTGCTTTTTATTTCCAAATTTCTAACCTTTTTGAACGTTAATTTCCAAATTCTTGATCCACAAGCAAATTTCACAAATTTATGTTAAGGTAAATTATTCCTTAACGCCTCCTAAAAGCCTGCCTAGGTCAGAAACGGTACCTTGGTGGTGATTACACTGAGAAGGCGTCTGCTTAGTTTTTTTTGAAATTAGTGAACATGAAAAAAATTCTCTGAAAAAGCCCTGGTGATCAGATCATTTCGAGTCCGCGCGGAAACGTGTTACCTCTCGTAAGCGTAAGAGCCGTATTACAGGAATTTTTTGAGCATTGGTCAAAAAAAGGGGGAAATATAACTCGTATGCAGAATTTATTAGCGGCTGATCATCAAGAAAGACGCTGTGAGTTATTCTTTGTATCGGGATTTTATTGTAATTTGATGGAATATTGACAAAGTAGAAGAAAAACAAGCCTCACTGCGAAACCAGTCGGTCTTCGACCCCAGCGATGATGACCGCCCTTGATGTCTTCGTCTGCAAAATATTCCCCGGCTGCTCCGCTGAGTTGCAAACTTTCGTGCGACTTGGCAGCTCTGATTTTTGCACTTGTTCGCAGGTAATCCGGGCGCTTTGGCGACTCGCTTCTGCCTCTGACCAGCACCGGGATTCGGCTGCGTTGAAAGGCCGCCGCTGACGCCTGCTGCGAAGGGTCGTCGCCGCCGCCGCCTCGACCGCCGCTGCTTTTCGCCTGCAATTGCCGCCGGTCGCGGCTCGGCTGGCGGCGTCCGAGGGTCGAGGCGCCTCGTCTGCTTTCACTGCTCAAAAACAACAAAAATGAAAAAAAGTTTTAATTTTCGAGCTATTTAGAGGAAAAAAAGGGCTTGGGTGAGATACGGAACTTGTAAAAAGAAAAAAGGACGAATCCGCTTGTACGAAATTATGAATTATTTTTTTTTTTGGGAAAAATTCGAAATATATCTCGAAACATATCTGACAAAAATTCCAGGCTGAGTTTTTGTGAGCTTGTCTAAAATCATGTGTAATTGTAGGATGATCCTTTGAAGAAGGAAAAAAAACATGCCAGTGAATCTTTCTGGAGTTTTTTTTTAGATGTCATTAATAGTGTGCAAGCCTTCGAATGCGATTAGGACTGTATAACATTTACATGATTCGAAAGATAATTTTTTCAATCCCCACTTCACGGGCCAAATCATTTGCATTTCTTTTCTTTTTCATTTGAATGTTTAATTCGTGTCATATCTTCACCCAATACCGGATAGACTATGCAAAAGATAACTCAGAGGTTTTTTTTAGGGACCGATCATTTTTGGACATCTGAATCAGAGGACTGTTCAACGCAAACACAACAGGGAGGAAAACATTTTCGGCAAGACCTCGAGTCATTATTGAGAATAAGTCGAACATGAAAATTTCTTTGGCAGCATTACACTAATAATGTATAGTTAGACCCCCAGCTGTGGACATAATTGGTGCATCAAGAGTGTCCCTAAGTTGAATTGCCCCTAAGTTGAGTCTTGTTTTCCCATAGACTTACATTATACAATTTTTAATTGGTGTTTTATGTGAAATAAGCATTCTTCAGAATTCCATGAAAAAAATTGTGTTTGCCACTTTAATTTGATTCAGTGAATATCTTTTCAACCCAATAAGAACATTGGAGCATTGAATAGTATACTGCTTTACAGTTCATTGAAATGTTGGCATCTGTAGATATAAAAGTCACAAAGAGAGACGGAAGTCCCTCTGTGCTATAGGTAATTTTTTTTCTAATTAGCTGAATGGCTATGAAAGTGATGAGAAAACTACCAAAGAATTTTTCTTGCCTAGATCTTGGGGGTGGAAATATCAGTTTCTTGCAATTAAGCCTAATAAAGGCCAATTTTCCTAAAATTTATTGGCAATTTTTTCATGCAATGTCCTCATGTTTAGTCATTGTTTGTATGTTGGGCCTGTTTATGATTTTTATTGAAGAATAAATGTCCAATTGTCCCCATGTTGAGGTGTCCGCATGTGGGGGCCTCACTTTAAGACATTCGTAATGCCAAGAATAAATCTCAAAAATCTTGGATATAAAATCACAGGTTTCTTCGAGGGTCTGATCATACACACAGTATCTTCACAAACGAAATTCTTCCAGCACGGGTTGCCATGGACGAATAGTCGCAATAAATCAATATGATCGCAAATTTAATGTATCAAAATAATCGATAAAGATTTGTTCAGGTGAAACCTTTGGAAATATGTTTGAGTATCACTGAATCAAAGGGCAGTAGAATTGCGTTGCAAAAAAAAGGCTGCGGTACCAAAAATTATTTTCAAGAATAAATTTATTCATCAGTCTCTGTACTAAAGCAACAAATGTATTTTAGTCCTATCATCAAGATTTTTTTTCTGGTCCGAATAAGATTTTCATGTACATTCGCAAACAATTTCAGTGGGCATAATATCAACGTACCGTTTTCAACCACGACAAAGAAAATTCGTTTCAAAGCACATCAAGGAGTCCTTTTTCTGTTTGTTTGTTTTTTTCAGCTGGTTCCACAATGTGCGTATCTGGATCATTAATTTCATGAACCGGATTTAATGCGTCCCAGGAATGTGACTTTGGTGTCGAACCGCTCACATCCCGACACAGTTGTCGCGACACTACTGGCGTCGGCCTGCGACGCGTCGCCAAGTTATCCAGTACTGACGTAGGGCTGGACTCGTCACTTCGAACCGACAGCGACGCGACATCCCTGCTTGTTCGGGGATTTTAAAAATTGGGCATTTTAATTTTGGGGATTTTTGTGACCGGGGATTTTAAAATCGGATATTATTATTTGGGGGAAATAGAGGCGGGGGAATTAGAATCGGGGGAATTGTCCTACACCCGCAAAAGATAACTCAGAGGTTTTTTTAGGGACCGATCATTTTTGGACATCTGAATCAGAGGACTGTTCAACGCAAACACAACAGGGAGGAAGACATTTTCGGCAAGACCTCGAGTCATTATTGAGAATAAGTTGAACATGAAAATTTCTTTGGCAGCATTACACTAATAATGTATAGTTATACCCCCAGCTGTGGACATAATTGGTGCATCAAGAGTGTCCCTAAGTTGAATTGCCCCTAAGTTGAGTCTTGTTTTCCCATAGACTTACATTATACAATTTTTAATTGGTGTTCTATATGAAATAAATATTCTTCAGAATTCCATGAAAAAAATTGAGTTTGCCACTTTAATTTGATTCAGTGAATATCTTTTCAACCCAATAAGAACATTGGAGCATTGAATAGTATACTGCTGTGCAGTTCATTGAAATGTTGGCATCTGTAAATATAACATCCAAGTCACAAAGAGAGAAGGAAGTCCCTCTGTGCTATAGGTAATTTTTTTTCTAATTAGCTGAATGGCTATGAAAGTGATGAGAAAACTACCAAAGAATTTTTCTTGCCTAGATCTTAGGGGTGGAAATATCAGTTTCTTGCAATTAAGCCTAATAAAGGCCAATTTTCCTAAAATTTATTGGCAATTTTTTCATGCAATGTCCTCATGTCAAGTCAGTGTCTGTATGTCAGGCCTTGGCCTTTTTATGATTTTTAATTGAAAAATGAATGTCCCTATGTCGAATTGTCCACATATCAAGGTGTCCGCATGTGGGGGCCTCACTTTAACACAATCATAATGCCAAGAATAAATCTCAAAAATCTTGGATATAAAATCACAGGTTTCTTTGAGGGCCTAATCATACACACAGTTTCTCACAAACGAAATTCTTCCAGCGCATGGGAATGTCTTGATTTTCAGCCAATAAATTGTCATGGACGAATAGTCGCAATAAATCAATATGATTGCATATAAATTATAATATATCAAAATAATCGATAACGATTTGTTCAGGTAAAACTTTTCGACATGGGTTTGGATATCACTGAATCAAGGGCAGTAGAATTGCGTTGCAAAAAAAGTCTGTGGTACCAAAAATTATTTTCAAGAATAAATTTATTCATCAGTCTCTGTACTAAAGCAACAAATGTATTATAGTCCTATCATCAAGATTTTTTTTCTGGTCCGAATAAGATTTTCATGTGCATTCGCAAAAAATTTCAGTGGGCATAATATCAACGTACCGTTTTCAACCACGACAAATAAAATTCGTTTCAAAGCACATCAAGGAAGTCCTTTTTCTGTTTGCTTGTTTCTTTCAGCTGGTTCCACAATGTGCGTATCTGGATCATTAATTTCATGAACCGGATTTAATGCGTCCCAGGAATGTGACTTTGGTGTCGAACCCGAGTGTAGGGCTGTGTCAACAGCGCTGTGATGACCGCAGCCGGACGCTGCGCAGCGGTTCAATAGGTCATGACTGCATCCCGACCTGAGCAGTGAAGCTTGGCTGTCGCTGCGCTGTAGGGACGAACTGGCGACGACGAGAGCGGAACTTTTCTCTTCTTCCGTTTTGAAGCAAAGCAAACCGGAGATGGAAAATCTCGCGACCGCCACGTTTTCGAATTGATGCAAATAACCTGCGCCCTTTCGTTGTTGTGCAATGCAAAAATACCCTGGTTTATTTTTTGATATTTTTAGAACAGCTGCAGTTTCATTGTTATATTGGGACATACGAATACAGGTGGAACATTTCTCTGCATTAAAATTCAGTTTTTTGTAAAGATAATATCGTTGTAGAGAACCCCTATATGAAACCCCTTTGGTACCACGAAAAAAAAAGTTCACAGAGGAAATTGTTGTAGACTAATAGATTTTTTATGGTAGATATATTTTTTATGGTTTTCCCTTCCCAATAATAAGTCCTTCAATTTAGCTATTGCACTAAACATCCCTCAAACAATTCAACCCAAATTCTTTTGATTGTATTAATGCATTGCATTACTGCACCGTCTCAATTTGTGTGCATAAATTTATAGTATTTATGGAATGTGTGTTGTAGTATTGCACTTACTGTGATGCATTACTTTGTTATTGTGATTTATTGCGGACTGTGATTAAACCAGACAAAACTATAAGTATGTACAATAATTTAGGTGCCCCCTTAATTACATATTCCCTACCACAAATCTGCTGATTTCCCTGCCTTGTTGTTTCTTACCATTTTCTTCCACTGCACTATGGTTCAATTCTTTATGTTGGGTTGATTAATTCCTCAACAATTGTTGAAAAATAGAAAGTCTTGGCAGGATCAACCCAAAAATGAGTTAACGGCATTTTGGAAAATAAAACAAAATTATTGAAAATTGTATTGCATATCACAACGTTTTTTTAAATGGGAAACTCACAATATGAAGACATATAAATGAATTTTTTCTCAAGATCCCCCAAGTTTTCCTGTTCATCCCTATAATTTTTCAAAAAAGCAATGCTTGTCCTGACAATGCTTTTTCCTTCCTTGCATTTTCCAGATTTCCAGTTTAAAATTATTTTCTAGACTAGACCTAAATCCGAATAATGTCAGAATTTCCGCGCATTACTTTTTGCATGAAAACAAAAACCGTGCGGGAGGTATCTCGCTGAAATATTCAAGTTTTTCGATGGTTTATACTTTGCGAAGTATATGAAGCGTCCGTATATATATACTGTATACACGTTCACTGTACTCGGAATTCAAAGCTGCCTGCCTAATTAATAAATTATGCATCGCGAGATTCGCGACGCAGAAAATGGCGAGAAATGTAAACAAAGGGTGACCGTAGCTGTTGCCACGTATGCACACACAATTGTTCCACATGTAAATACTGTATGTGCATCAGAGACCGCTTTCTCGTACATAAACTTTTATCGTAAGGAGTAATATTTTTGATATCGCATATATATCCTTGTCGGATTGGTGTGTAGCACGAACTTTTTCCTGGTTTGTAATACTTATTGTGAGCCCAATATATGTGTAAATGGTATATGTACTCGTATGTGCGCAGTTTTCCTGGAACAATTACTGATACACGGAGTAAATATAGTTTCCAAAAACTTCTCGATTGGACCCTGAACATTAGTCATATGGTGAAAATTTGGATCATGCTGGATTTTGTGCTATATATTGCTTGAATGTTACTTGTAGGAAAAATGAACCATCATGCATAGAAAGTCATGTTTTGTGGTGAGATCCTCTAATGTACTATCTAGGGCACCTCATTCTGATTGTTTAAAAAATTGAGTGACAGATTGGTTTCAGTTATGATTGATCATATAAGTATACTTTAAATACAAGACCACGCGTTTTTCACAATTGGATAATTTTCAGAATCATCACATGCGCTCAAGACAAATCGGACTAATTGAATAATTTTTGAAACCTTCTTCTTCTTTTACATCTATTTTTTGGTAATATGAACATCCAAAAAATTCTCTGGCTGAAAGCTTCATAATTAAATGAGAAGAAGTAACAGAGGCACTTGAAACCCACATCAAGTTTCCTCATCATATGGAACAATTAATATAATTGCATGTGATAAGTTAAGTGTGTATATTTATGATGTTTCTATATTATTATTCTTTCGTGGTGATTAACCAATGGTCTGGTTTCCTCTGAAGGGGAAACCTGAATTTAAATTTAAACTTGTAACCCTGAATACGGTTTCTCTTTTCAAAATACTGAATTAATGAGAATTATGGCCCTTAAAAAATGCTGAATTGAAATGCTTGTGCATATATAGGTAAACTCTTTCTGCATTGACTTTATCCATGACTATAGATTTTCTGTATGAAGAATTTGTGGGTTTCAGCATACAGGCAGTTATAGAGGTTCTGAACAACAAAATTCTGTCTACAAAGATTTGTTTCTGGTCCCCTGATTTTTTTAGAGAGTCTATTTGTATAATAAGATCCCTTGACTTTTACCATTGTATATATCCAGATTTTTTGTGTAAAAAAAATGCAGATTCATTCACGTTAAAATTGTTTTGACATTTGTGGCTGACATGTTGTCTTGAGCAGCACAAAGATGAATTAATTGGCTCTGGATCAAGAGAGAATAACATGAGGAAACAACAAATAGATTCAGCCTGGGACAAGGCCAGGGATCCTTGGTAAAATCCCTCATCAAAATTAAGAATTGTAGTGTAGGGGAACCTCTTCAAGGTTCCCTCAAAGACCAGTGAAGGTCAATTATTCTGGTTAACCTCATTACCTTCTTGAATGAGATGCAGTTAGCTTACTCTGAACCAAAGGAGAGCGTAATAAACCTATAATCCGTATTACTGGTGGCAGCGGTATTTCAAGATTGACCCAACACAGTTTTAAGAAACTTTTGATCAGTATTTTCAAAGTTTTTCAAAACAGATACCTCTCAACAAAAGCCTTTACTGGACACAACTGTTTCCAAGAACTGCTGCTTAAGATAGTCATGATGATGCTCTATATTTTCAGGCATTTATTAATTTCTTCATCTTGTCCTTGATCAAGGATGGGGTAAGACAACGGCCTGTGATTGACCCAAGATGTTCAAATCAAAGACATCTTGGTGCCAATAGGCTCTTCAAATTTTGGGGGAGAGGGAAAAGTGTTGCCAGTTTCCAAGACCAGACTTTTTCGACTTGAGTGGTTTTCCACTCCATTTACTTTTTCTTGAAATGAGGTTAGTACCTTGAGTAATTGAGGAGAGTATAATTGCCGCAGGTCCTCAACAACATTTATTCCGGGAGAATGAAAAAGGTACACATTTTATTTCTGCTGGCTTAAATTGTTTCGAATCTCTCAAAAAATTTTTCTTCTCTGTTTGAAGTGCCTTCAATGCTGGTGAAAAGGCAGATGTAATTTTAAAAGTTTCGCGTGATATTATATAGGAAACCATTTCATGCTGGCCACTCCACGAAGATCAAGCCTGACAATGAAAAGTTTTCAAACGTCGCTTCAATCCTAGACATGAATCTCAACGTCAAGCTCGTTTGAATCCTATAAAATATACGGGGGACAGGCTCAAAAATAGACCCTTTTTCATGATTTCGATCCAGAGCCACTTGATGTATAATGCAAGCGAAGATCCTAATTTCATTCCGCCTCGTTACATGACGAACGATTCACACAGGAGTACAGTTCAGCAGCAGTAAAATTCACAAGCAGGAAATCTCACATCACTCGAATTATAAAACACGCGGAAATAAATCAGGGTCGTAAATCCATTTTCACGACTAATTTTTTTTTCTTTTCGTTTCAGGATTATATCCTCTGCGTTTCCCGGAGTTACCAGCAACAGCGACAGGCGAAAACTGTTACGTTTCCTTCCGCCAAGGCGTTCTGAAAAACCCCCCGACGAGAAAGGGCCGGGGGCAGACGACCGGACGTCCGGCCTCGACGCGGCAAACGGTAGTTTCCGGTTTCGAGGAAAGAATATATAGGGAAGGTTTCGATTCATATCGTCTCCCTATACATATATACTGTATATATATACGGTATATAGTCTTGCTAGAAGCACAAGTGACAGTGGAAACCTTTTCTGCTGACCAGAGGTGACCTCGATGATGATGAGTGGTGTGGATTATTTTGAGAAGCCTCTGACGTACGCGAAGTCAGAGACTCTTGGGAAAGAGTCGTCGGAAATGGGAAAATCAGATATATTGGAATCTTTCCACTGGGAAATCAAAAAGAAATATGAATTTTTACTCTGTATTTTTATTTTATTTATTTTTTCTGTTCGTTGTGGTCTTGATAATGGACGCATGATGGATTTTTCAGAAAGCACAGATGGATCTCTGTTGCAGATTTTTACGAAAGGATAGCTGGCTTTAGATTTGAGTAGTGCACAGGCTGCATGAAAAAATTCTATTAAAAAAACCAAATGGACGATAAAAAAAATATTGCTATCAGCATTATATTTCTCATCGTGAATATAAAATCTGCATCAAGCATTGTTTCCCTTGCTTCTTAGTTTTAAAAAATAAAAATCAGGATTTCTTCGGAATTTTTAAATGAAAATATTTGTGACAGTACAATTTAATTATCCAATTTTCAGGGGGGGGGGGGGGCATATATAGCAGCTCACAAAGTGGAATTCCCTCAATCAAGTCGAATGAAATATTGAACTTTTGAGTTGACATTGTGAGGGTCAGACCTTCGTTGGTCGAATTTTCAAGGCCTTCTGGTTCTGAAATTGGGGCTATATTAGAACACCCGTTTCAGAAAACCGACAAAAACAGAGATTAATTCATTTATTTAAGTTCTTTGCAAGGAATTAGGCATTTTCCTGGAAGCAGGGAAACTTTTAATATCGAACAGTCATTTACAGTACTGTAATAGCTTGACCAGAAAATAATGTCCATCCCAAATTTAATAACTTGAAATAAGCTCCTCAAGTCTAATGTTTCCGGAGTTCCTTGAAATTTTACTTGGAAAGTTTCATAACTCTACTTGAAAGAGGATTCCAAGTATTACTTTCTTGTAGACCTACAGAATAGGGTAGAATTTTCTTCGTTTTCAAAAGCTTGTACATAAAAAAACTGATTTTTTTTTCTTGTCCAATAACTGCTGCGAACATTGATATTGAAACCGAAGTTGAGGAACTATGAGTCAGGAGCATCCCGCCCCGGGACCTGGCATTGGGTCATTTTATTCCAGACGCCAAGGAATGTTCTACCATTTCTCTTCTTTTTTCCTCTTCTCTTTTTTCCCCCGCAATTTCAGCAGCAGAAAGCTGTATATATGGCGATAGAAATCAACTCTTGATTTCCTGTGCCCCCGCACCTGCTATATACTGCTGGCCGCGAATTCTCTTGGCACGCGATTTCTTGCCGCCGACCGGGATGATGGAAACTTCAAGAGCAAACTTATACGTATATACTGTACTGTGTATACTGTACGAAACAAGGAATTCTTCGCATATCCCCAAATTGACCACAAGGGGCTTTGCTCGAGTTATTTTTTTGAATATGCAGTGTTGTTCAATTAAAGGAGGGCAGCTTCTGAAAAAAGGGCAGCTACACCTTAGGATGAGGTAAGCCTAAGCAGTTGAACAATTAGAAATTTATCACATTTCACACAGGGGTCTGGGAAATTTTTCTTTTCTTCATTTTTCCCCAAAATTGCAAAAAAATCAACAGTATCTTGGGGAAAATTTGATGGGCCACGACTTCGGCAGAGTTTAGTTCAAGAGTCTGTCAACTTCTC